CTGTCGCGACTCTGATTAGAGGATCTCTACGCGATCCGTATCTAATAGCGTTTTCGGCCCGATCGGGTTTGCATCAATCTGGGTTGACCTGGGTTGGATTAATCTTTCCTATTGGTTGACGTTACACGCTCTACCAATAGAAGAGCACAAAACGCCATTAATCCAACTCAGGTGCAAACCCGGCCGGGTCAAAACGCTATAAGTAGTACTCAAATATGGTCGACAATAATAAGAGAGAGGGACCGTGGAAGATGGGCAATCTCCTTCTCATTCTCTCTCCCATTACACCGTTGAATGAAAAGAGATAGAGATGATCGGTCCTCTTTCACGGTCCTTCTCTCTTACTTTTATCGATCATTTTGACATACGAATCGCGCAGTCCATTCTCTATGGCTTTGTTGCACACCGTGTGATTTCATCCTAAAACGGTCAAATTTTTCTTTTCCTCTTTTTTTAGTTGTTCGTTCGGATCAAATTCAACTTTTAACTTTTCAATTAGTTTTTTTATTAACTTACTTCTAATTCAATTAATTTTATTATGGATTAACTTGTGTATCTTAACTAAATTAAATTTTTAAGGTTAATTTTAACGTAACTTAGTTTTAAAAAAAAAGTTAATTTACCCGACCCTGGGTATAAATGTCAAATATTTTATGGATTAAGCGGTTCATTATATTTTTGCATATAATTTCATATATTGCAATGCAATATGTTGTAATTACTATGCATTAATCAAATAGCGTTTAGAAGAAAAAATACAAAGCAAGCCATTCTTATTTATTTGTTTAATATGGCTGCGGTCCACTTGATGCTATAAACGCTTCGAAGCGTTTGAGCGACCAATCAGAACAAAGAATTTTACGAATTAACTAATCAAAGAATGCTTTGAAGCATTTGTAGTAGGACTTTAATTTTATTCCGTTTTTCGAAGATACGTGTAAACGTAAAACGTTTATCCGTTTATATTCGCTTTCAAAAAAACGTTTACTTGAAGGTAAACGTTTACACGTTTAATTAGCACGTTTAATTAGCTAATTATACGTGTAAACGTGTTTTCGTTTAAACGTATAATAGTTAATTACACGTATATTCGGAAAAACGTTTCTAATAAACGGATATACTAATTATACGTGTAAACGTATTTTCGTTTAAACGTATAATAGCGAGCCCTAATTTGTAGTCAATTTGCAGTCAAGTGGACCGCAGTCTATGTAATGTATTAATATGAAAAGGCAAACGAAATTGCTTAATGCATGAAAAGTTCTAGATAAAAGTTTCAAAACGTTGCACAAGTACTTGTTATTTAGTATAAAGTAGCAAAAAATTTTTATAATAAATACTTTTATCATAACTAAATTTGTACTCTTATATTACATTTCTTGCCTCAAGCATCGATGGTTTAACTGAAATTATATTTTTTAAACATTATTTTTATTTAAAAATGTACAGTAATTACAAGATCGATACAGTTAATCGAGAAAAGAACCTTCTCTCTTCTAAAAATGTAATTTTCAACATTCAAATTATTATTTTACCTTCAAAATGACATGTTTAAAAAAAATATGTATTTTATTTAAAATGTTATTTAATAATATTAAATATATATTAAAAATATGTTATATTTGACATCCTCGCGCAAAGGTTGCGAATATTAAAAATATATTTTCGTTTCAAAGGAAACCAAATCATATCGGTTACATCAATATATCTTCGTTACAAAATTAGAAATAAGAGGAATTCGAGAAAAATAACATGAACTTTGCGTGAATAATATTTTCGATTTAAGTTTTGACTACTGCCTATGGCCCTAAAAGAGTAGCTGCTGAACTGATTCTGAGTTTCGTTTATTCATATTTGATATGAAAAAATCGTATTCAGTTTTTAAATTCTAATCTTCATTTGCGTAAAGATCACATCGAACTTCGAAGCAGATTCATTTGTAGCTTTTTTCAACGTTAAATTATTCAATCTATCATTTGATTCTGAGTTTCACAATAGATATTACATGCAAAGTCACGTTCAATATAATAAATATAATGTATCAAGAAACGGAGATTATTTAAATGCGTACGAAATTTAGCCTGCAACAAAATCTGATGGAGGTAGTTTAAGAGCCCTGGCATACAAAAAACTTAAGGCAGTAAGACGTAAGCAGTAAGGAAATCAACATGTTGGATTCGCTACTGCTTATGTTATGGCCTTATGGACTCTACTGTGATTGGTCAATTCGCTTACTGCTTAAGTTTTTTGTGTGCCATGGCCCTAAGTGTGTGTGAAGGATGCTGAATAAGCACATTCATCAAATTGAGTGAACTGAAAAAAATGCTGAATTTTAATAAATATTTGTTTCAATAATACTAACGAAATATTTACTTGCTGTAATTAAATGTTTACTCAAAATAAAAAATTATATCTAAATCTCAAATAAATATAACATATTTACATTTAATAAATATTTCGTTAGTACTATTGAAACATATTTGTTAAAACTTAGTAATTTTTTTTCAGTGAATCCTTCCGAAATGCGCACGTTTTTATTAGAGAGCTAATTAGCTAACAAGGGAAGTTATCCAGATGTCCAATTAGTTTTGAAAAAGTGTGTACAACACGTTCCATGTAGTTGGGCAAAAATATCGATATTTTCAGATTAAGAATGATTGTTTCATTCAATGTACGTTCTTCGTTATTCAGTTAGATAAGACACGCGATTGTCTATGCAGTGGCGGGTTTACACATTTTTTCACCCTAGGTCCTGTACTTCTTGGCGCCCCTTTAAGACACTTGGCCTCCCTTTCAGACAAATGAACAATAAAAAAAGATATCAAAAGATATCACTTTTTCACCAAAACATCAAGATTTTATTTTTCTGCGCCAAAGCATTACTTCAAGGTGCCATTGGCAAAAATGCATCACAATTCCTGGCAATCCTGCACAAATATAAAATTAACTTTCCGTTTGTCTCCTTTTTCGAAGAATTCTGTACTAGTTCTGAACTAGTGCAATATGTTAGAGTAAACCAAACTATACCCGTCTCACTCTAACTTACTGCATCAGTGTACACCAGTTCAGAACTTGGTATGGAAAAAGAAAAGGCCTTTTAATTTTGGTCTCTAGAAGGATGCCACCCCTAGGTCCGGGCTTCGTGGGCCTCTATTTAAATCCGCCACTGTATCTATGCGACCATCTCCAAAGGATTGCCTGAGAATAATGGTCATCGTGGCTCTTACGTCATAAATGTATAATTGAAAGTCATTATGGATAAAATGTAGTACAATGCGATAATAGTATATAAGGACATATCCTTAGAGATATGCGAGGGATCAATAAAGGTACGACGATCAACTGCGAGGGAATCGATATGCGACTTGCCTTCGGTGTTCTTGCGAAGACATCGCATGAGCAGTATATCTAGCAAATATCTAGAAAGTTAGCACAATTAATACATCTAAGAAAGTCTACTATTTCATATTAAGTTTAAGGCAAGAATAGATTTATTTTCGGAGTCGGAAAATGCGTACGCGATGTCTCCGAAGAAAGGTGCGTCGAGTGTTGCCAAAGCGAAAGTTCGGAGACGTAATTAACTTCGATAGTTAAATTTTTAGAGGATTATAATCGCATATCATACCAATTGTTAAATAAAAAAATGTTATTCATCGTTCTTAAATTTATTAAATATAAAGCTTTCAGCTGAGAGACATGTAATAGTTACGAAGTTGAGCAGTTCATTCTCGTCTCCCTTCATTTCTTCGTAAAAGCTAATTCCGAATGCTTTCAAAATTAGAATTCTTTGCCATGTACCTGTTCTCCCGAAACACTTCGCGTACGAATAAACTACTATAGATACATATAATGTTTTTACGCCAACCTTCAAGAACGGATCCTATACGTAAGAAAGCGATGTTGTTATCGATGTGTTTGAACTAATTTAAGGACATCACATTGATACCGCGACAATAAAATACGCTCGATAATACACCTGCGAAAGGTGTATGGCGTATATCCCGCTTCGCAAAATAATGAACGACATAATGAATACCAACAAAACAAAAATGTTAATCTTAATGAAACTTCGTCAATTTCTTGACAATGAGTTTTTACAACGAAATATCGAAACACAATCGATTAAGGATCAGCGAAACACAATCAATTGACAATCTTGTAAATACTTTAAGACACACGAATTTCATTGAATAGTTTTAAATATGAAAATAATTATAAATATCTAATTTAATTAAAAGATTAACCAAATAAAACATCTCAATTCTCATAAATTTTTAAAAATTTGTAAAAAGGATGCAAATTATAAGCACAAAAACGAGCTTAATGAAATATTTATTTTACTTTACATACTTTACTATGCTCTGACTAGTCTTGCTAGTTTCTTGTTCGATCTGTTTTTCTCTATATTATTACTATATTATTGTCAATCTTATTGGTATTATTATATTGTATAATCTATATATAAATCAATGTAATTTATATATTGCATATTTTCATACTTGTATAAAGATATTTTTTTATGCCGACTTCGTGGAAGTATATTGTATACTATGACCATTGTTATCAATTTTATTAGTGATAACTTGTATCGATTGCTGTTATATATAGTTATTATTATTGTTATTATTATGATAGCGAAAGGCGAGGCTTTTTTCTGGGGGAACAATTAGACGATATTTCTAGACATAGAACACATTCAGTTATTACGTTTACGAAATAAAGAATTCTAAAAATTATGTTTTCCTTTCCAGTTTTGTTATCCGTTCATTTCGCACAAATCAAGTTGTTTTTTTTATTTTGATTTTTCATAAAGATGTGAAAACAATGAAATACGTACAATAATTAGAATTGGAAAACTAATTAGAAATGTATAATCTAATTAGAAATCTATAATGTATAATCGTAATTAAAAATTATTATAACAAATATATAGTACAATTGCATAACTATATGTAATAATTATTATATATACACATAATTAATTTTTATATTTTTTTCTGTATATATAGCAGGTATATAAATATCTAAATGCATTTAAATAAGAGGTAATTTCTGTATAAACTGTCGGAACCACATGTAGCTCGTGCAGGCAGACAACGAGTACCAAGTGATTATATAACTCAAATGTTCGTCCCTTAAAGTTACTTTCGTTTGGCCTCCGATTGGACCTTGAGGTATATTGTACTCGGCCAATAATTCTATGTATACAGGTTCTGCTTCTGCTACCTTTGCCATCGCATTTAAATCTCTAGAACATACTTGTTTGAATTTGTATGTGATAGAAAACATCATTTTTCACAGTACTAAAAATTTTTTTAATTTGGTTAATATAGAAATGACTAATAGAATAAGTAAACTATACGCTTTTACCTGTAATGCCATACACCTTTCGCAGGTGTATTATCGAGCACAAATGGAGGTCGCTTTTCAGTTGCTCTAATAATTCCGGTAATTTCTATGGAGTCTATAATCTTATTTCCCATTTTGTATGTTGAGCGATCACATCTAGGAATCCATCCACGATTTACCATAATAATCAAGCTAAACTCAAGAAATAATACCAAATTCATTCTATACTAAATTAAAAAATGTTAAAGTATTATAAGTTTTAGTTTGTTCTCAATTTCTTTTAATCAACAATTAATGAAAGCATAATTACTCTCGATCTTCCAGTTTGAAAGGCGTAATCACGTAATATCCTGAACTTGTTTTGCGAGAAAATATTCCACCACCTTTTTCGCTAACAGCTTCCCCATTAATAATTAGGCTTCTAGGTCCTATCAAAAATTCTTTTTCATATAAAAATTTGCCCTTCACTTTTATACGATAATATTCTTTATCTTTTAATTCATTTAGGCTAAAAAGAAATGTTTTTGTCAAACATTTACAATAAATAGTGCTTACAATATAATATTCTAATTTAGAATATTACATTGTAAATACTATTTATTACAAATTTATTTTTTTTAGAATTTCTAATATTATAATCTTACTCTGATGGCAAATCGATTGGCTCTGCTGAAGTACGTTGCTTTAGCTTTTCTATTAGATCCAGCTTCCATCTCCATCTCTTAATTTGCCATGTACCAAGTGCAAATGTAATAACAGGTACACCCTAAAATACAGAAATTACAACATACAATTATTACAACATACAAAATTAAATTTTAAAATTATTGATAAAATCTACTATTGATGGAATTGGCCTCTGTTATAATTTAAATTATAATAAAAAAGTTTGTTTTTAATTAACTAAAGCAAAGAACAGTTCATCGACAAGTAACTAAATGCATGCACAAGAAGCCACGGAGCATGAAAAAGTGACTACAGTACATGTTCACATCATAGTATTCCTAACCTGAATAGTCGTGAATTTTAACGATTAATATCTTGGTTCGTAGGACAGAGCGAAGCTTTTTTTGCCAGATTCTTTTATTTTATATAAAAACGCGTCGCTTAATTTCATTGATTTTTTTAGGTGCGGAGGACTAAACTGTATAATTACCAATTTAAAATATAATATATACTGTGCCCACAGCGCAATGCGCATGTACGTGTAACCAAAGTAAGTACAGTCAACAACTAAAAGGTTGCAACACTTTCTTTTTAATAGGTTTCGGAATGCAGCCTATTCACGGAGCGATTGGTTCTTATTTATGGATCCATAAGTAATACTCTTCTTTACAGAAAAATTGCATTTTGGTATTTCCAAATCAACAGACCAAGTTTCTTAAGCGTTGAAAGATCTAGCGAAGCTATGTTAAGAAGAAGAAGAGCAGCCGACCACATTACACTACTTTTCTCGTCAATCGCAACATCTTTCGCATATCCCGTAGCACCCCATATCATATGGCGCCGGACATTGCTGACGAAATATCGACTTCTGAACAATCTAATCCGTCCGTAGATCATACGCCGTCGTCTGCAGGCCGGAAGACTGTGTGAACGGCTACCTGTAAAGAAACTATTTATTTCTGCAAAGAATTGGAAGGCGCAAGTGGAGTGGGTCAAAGCACACAAGCCAAAGCCTCAACTAGACAACTCAGCAATGATCTGGCGTCTTCTGGAATGATAAATCATTGTTATACCATCATTATCAAACAACATGAACTTATTTTTGTCGCTCTAGAAGTCATCAGACCATTGTTGAGGTATCTAGTTGAGTTGAGGTGTGCTTTGGCCCACTCGTGTCTTCCAATTCTTTGTGGAAATGAATGGTTTTTTCATGGGTCGCCGTTCACACAGTCTTCCGGCTTGCAGATGGCGTATGATCTGTACGGACGGATTAGATTGTTCAGAAGTCGATATTTCGTCAGCAATGTCCGTTGCTGTACGATGTGGGTGCTACGGGATATGCGAAAGATGTTACGATTGACGAGAAAAGTAGTGTAATGTGCTCGGCCGCTCTTCTTCTTCTTAACATAGCTTCGCTAGATGCTTAAGAAACTTGGTCTGTTGATTTGGAAATACCAAATTGCTGATCAAGCTTCTTATGTACGTCCACCTTTGTTCATGGCCCTTTATGATGACTTTCTGTTGTCGTTCATCTATATCTTGAGCACCGCAAGTATCTATCATAACGTAAAACGTTAAATTTAACTGCTAAAATTAGATCATGATGGTAAAAACTACGTCTGTAACATGAAAAGCAAAGAAAGTACAATAATGCGATTTTGGGAAAATTAATACAAAATTAAAGAATCATGATGTACATTGTCAAATCACATTATATTTTACGTACAAGGCCTACCTGCCACCAAGTGTCTACTTTATAAATTTGAACGCATTCGATTCACTTTGATAAAAGTTATGCTCAAAAAATCGAAAGGTGACATAATTTTGACCGGTACTGTATATGCATCGTCCATTTGACATATATTCTATCTTTTTTCATTGAAGAATCTAAATTTCTTGTAAACTGTACGGTCAATTTAAATGAAACTTTACGAGAACAAACTTAAGTATTTACTTTATAATTATAACGATTTTTAAATTGCTGTCATATCGTCCTATAGATTTCTTTTTACACAGGCTACGTTCTAAAATTTGCACATACTGAAAAACTATAATGCACATAACATAAAGTATAGATTTTCAGTACTGACAGTGTCCTAGTTTACGCAGAGTACTTGATGCACATACTAACAAGTAACTTTCTATTAAATTATCTTAATTTCAACAATACATTTAAAGAATGCTGTACTAAGCTGGTATAATATGCATCCATAGATGATTAATTAAATAGCTATATGTGTATACATTGACATCTCCGAAATTAAGATTCAATGAAAGTTACTGATTAGTACATGTATTAAGAAATGTAAACAAGGTCAGTAAAATTTCGAACACAGCCACAATTTATACTGATTTATACCGAGCACTTGGTACACTTATTAACTACTTATTGCAAATTTGATTGGACGCACTCAGTGCACACTCGGTGCACATTAAAATCGTCGTACACAAATAATGTAAAGATATATTTATACATCAATATAGAAATCGATTAAATCCTGAAATATTCAATACATTTTATTGTACTATTAGGTAACATATGTATTTTATAATTCGAAATATTTGCATTTTACTTTTATACTCAAATTAAATCAGTGTACAACGGTTTTAATATCCACTATTGTGCGCTAGTGCTTCCAATCGAATTCGCCATTAGTAACTTTCCATTAAATAATATTATCTTAATTTTAGCAATATATTCAAAGAATGTTGTATTAAATTGGTACAATATGCATTAAAATAATTAATTAAATACACAAATTATGTATATGTTTACATATATCACCGAAATTAAGATAATTCAATAGAAAATTACCAGTTAGTACTTAGGTCCATATCAAGGTCCGATTGCACCAACATTAATTTAAAGTTTAAAATTCTCTCCCTTTCTGTCTCTCTATCGACTTTAAAAAGAGATTTTTAAGCTTCGTCAAAATAACGTTGGTAAAAATAAGTGCATGATATAAACTAGCTAGGCAATAGCGTCGTATCGAGTTAGAGTATGACAGGTCTTTTAACCTCTAAGTCTCAAACTTTAACGTTTAATAACTTGTTTGACGCGGCAAACCGCGGCGTTTTTCTGCCAGATTCTTTCGTTTTAAGTTGAAACACGACAAATTAGTACATTATTTTACCAAGATTTGAGATGAGAAGATATTTTAAACAAATATTTTTTTATTATAATATAAATAGAATTTTAGAATAGCAGATGATATTCTATTACTTGCCAATAAGGAATATCCATATAGGCCAATCTTTTCCTCCGATTTTCGATATCTATTTGTTTCAATAGCTGCAGGCCTCGTCAGTTTAACTTCACTGCTCTTACATCTCGCTTGCGTATTTACATTACCAAATAATGACACGTGCACCCGTCTATTGATAGCACATTTTGCGTCTCTCAAAAATCCAAAAATCTTTGTTAGATTCATATCTGACTTTTTAGTTATAGAAAAAATAATAAAGAAAATTTTACTTTTTCAATAATAAAAAACAACTAATAGCGAATTCGATTGGACCCGATTGGACGCACTTAGCAGTGGTGCGTATATACGTAATAACGTTTCCACTGGAAGAACTGGTGCACACTGAGGGCATTGAGGGCTGCGGCTGCCTTCCCATGGAGAAAGAAACCATGGAATGATGGAACAGAATATTGACAGAAAAGAGATAGGATGAGGATAGTCCTCGTCCTATCTCTTTTCTGTCAATATTCCGCTCCGTTGTTTCTTTCTCCATGAGGAGAAGGCAACCTATTGCTGGATTCATACTGCATCCGATTTTCGTCGTACGACGCTCCGCATCCAATCAGAAAACAGGATTTCGATGATACGAAGCAAAATTCATCGGAATCCTGTTTTCTGATTGGTTGCGGAGTGTCGTACGACGAAAATCGGATGCAGTGTGAATCCAATAATACACCATGGGTGCGTTCCAATTTTCACTGCCAGTGCTGAAACTATACAGTATACGTTACGTACGCTATAGGTTTTCAGTATTGGCAGTGAATTTCGGAACGCACCCCATATAATTCCACTCCCTCATGCTCTTGGTCGCACTAGGCTGCCGATTGATGGCGTTGATCTCGACATTGTAAATCGTCTCTGAAATGGCATTCTTGTTTGAGTGTAGCGATCTCGGTTTATTCGGTTTTTCGTGATCTATTGTCTTTTGTATTTCGGAAAATCATGGTAAGTGAACGTTGGTTGAACAATGATCATGTAAAATCGTATAAACAGCCGTCGAATAAATTTTCCGCGGATTTCGCTCTTCTCGTGTGATTATGCTCATAATTTTTAACGCCACGGTTACTTTTGCCTTGCGAATTATCTTGCGCTTAACCTCGTCGAGTGAGCGTTCGTCAACCGCATGGTGCATCCTCCGTGCATCTTCACATGGGATTCTAGGCGCATTTTGCATTCTCATAAGCTTCTATAAGATTCTACAATGAGTTGGTAGTCGGAAATCTTAAGTCTTAACCAGTTTTAACCTAAATAGGTGACTATGATTTTTCGCATCTACTAGTTGTTAGTTGTACAGCGAGTCGTTTAACTCGACTGGTGGAAAGGAATAAAGTCGAATTTGGTCAATCTTAAGAAAATCGGTAGTCTTATGCTAATAGCGTCTCCCCGAACGCACCTTTAGTTGTACAAGTTGGCTGTTGACCAACTTCACCAATTTACCAATAAGATTTCGCGATTACAGATTACGGACTCATTGTAGAATCAGCTTATTAAATTAATTATTCATTATGAGTTAATCAGAGTTTAGTTGAAGTCGATAATATTCATTTCTACTAATGTAGATTAACTTAATTGGTTTAAGTTACTGTGTTATTAATTCTTAGAACTAGAAAAAGGTAAAAAATAAGTTAAACCGAGATTGAAGTTCATTTACATTGGTAGAAATCTTAGAACATATATAAATAGAAGAGAAATTGAATGCTGAACCTGAAGTCAACAAGAGAAAGCTATAAAGTCCCAATTGACTGTAATGCATATGTGCCACTCAGCCCGTTTTCTTCTTTTTCACTTTGTAGTTAATGTTTGAGAAACACTATAGCGGGGAGCACAGACTTTTGCATAACGCATAACATGTAATGCATAAGAAATTCAATCAATCAGAATTCTTTATTTCATGGAAAGGAAGGAAACGGAGAGCTTTGATTGGTACATTTTCTTATGCATTACGTGTTATGCGTTATGAAAGAGTCTGTGCCCCCCGCTTAAGACTGAAGCATATTTTTGTTATGCAACCAGAAGCAACCATGACTAAGACAAAGTTGTCTTCTGATCCCTAAAGACGAAAATAGCCTTAACTGCAGTCGCTTCTGGTTGGATAACAAAAATATGCCTCTGTACAACTCACATAGACAATGGTCTGTACATGCATGTTGCAAACATTTGGGACTTTACTTTTTCTCTCGCACATATGTTAATTTGATATATGGGCAGTATAGGCAATTTTCTTTCCACACACGCGCGCGCGCACACACACACACACACACACACACACACACACACACACACACACACACACACACACACACACATTCTAAGATAGAAATGGACATAAATCCTCTGTAGCAAATTCTTATTCTACATTGATTTTAATTTGGATTCATTAAATTCAGCATATCTCTTGAATGTTATTAAAATAAAGACTTTTGAATGTTTTGTTTATATTTACATTACTTTAAATTAGAAAATTGTACAGAGATATAATAGGCTTTCTATAATAAGGCCGTGGTCTGATTCAACGTTCATGATCATCTTTTGTCTTCATTTAACTTTTGACAAACAACAAGGATGAAATGATTTTTAAGTGTTGTGAGCGTGAATCAGACCAATCAGACCGCAGCCTAACACATATTCTACAATAAGCCATTAGTCATAAATCAATCACAGTCGTCAATTTCCAGTTTCTAACTTTTGATTTATGACTAATGGCTTATTGTAGAATGGCCATTAGTCATTATCTAAGCTGAAATCTTAAGCTGTAAAAAATTGACCAATCACAATTGAAAGAATAATTGATTATAATTGGACAATTTGTTACGGCTTAAGATTTAAAACTTAGGTAATGATTTATTATAGAAAGCCCTTTGAAAAAGTCATTAAAATTCATATTTTTACATAGAAGTATTCTAATTTAAAGTAATGTAAACACAAATAAAATATTCTGTATATCATGAAATTTTAATATTTACGTATTGAAGAATTTATTCTTTAATAAATTTAATATAGATTGTGAATTTTATCAATAATATCTTGTCCTTTTTTAACAGCCGTTCCAAAGGTTTGTACAATCTGGCCGTGTGGCCTATGTGAGTGATGGTCCTTATCAAGGCAAACTAGTTACCATCGTTGATATCATCGATCAGAATCGGGTAGGAACAATATTTCTCTGTTAAAATTGTTTAATCTTTTTGGTATGAAAAAAATTATAAAATTACATAATATCAAACAATTTTCTGTAGCTAATATATTGAATAATAATTTGCTGTAACAACGTTAATTATAATCATTTTTTATTTGCGCAGCAAACTTTATATGGATAATGTTTTATTCTTTAGGTATTTTATACAATAAGTGTCATTTTTATATTATGTTAAATATGGACAGAAAGACTTAATTTGAGCAAGTTTAACATGAAAGCATTGTATGCCTTTACATACATATTTTTGTAATAAATTCTAAAATAATATATAATATATATATATATCTCTATAATAAACTCTATAATATAATAAACTACAATAATTTCTATAATAAATCTATAATAAAAATAATCTCTATAATAATAATAATCTCTATAATAAACTTTATAATATAATATAAACTATAATTTCTTTATTTTTGTATGATGGAATAATAATATGATAGGAATTGCCGACTGACTTTGGTGATGTTAATTTCTTTCTGATGCTATAGTTGTAACTTTTTTAACAAATTGTTAAATTCTTCAAATCTTAAAACTGTTACCCTTTTTTTTACACATACACAGGTTCTAGTCGATGGTCCATCATCAGGTGTACCTCGTGGTGAGATGAGACTCAATGAGCTTCACTTGACAAAATTCCGTTTACGTTTTCCGTTTTCCGGATCCACTCGTGTCGTGCGTAAAGCATGGGACTCGGCTAATATTAACGAACTTTGGAAAGAGACGATGTGGGCCAAAAAAGTTGAAGCCAAGAAAAAGGTATTACAAAATGCTAATTGTTTATTTATATTAAATAAATATAATACTTATTTTATTTCTAGCAAATGATATTAATGCATTTTTATACCTTAAAAAAATAAAATATTGAAAAATTATTTTTATAAAAATTAAATATGTGATGAACCAGTATTTTTTGATAGAAAATACCGTCTGACTTTTACCACAGGCGAGATACTATTAAAGACCGACATCCTTACGGGAGTTCACATGTTAATATTAAAGTGATTAAGAATAAAAACCTGATAATATTGTACTAATTTTATGATTTATAAGTTTAGTAGTGTTTATCGGTGTATATGCATTTAAACTCAATAATATTCGATTTTTCTTTAAAATTGTGATTTCAATATTATCATCAAAGTTTGATTATCAACAGAGATGATAATTGCAGAGAAAAAATTGTAATTTTTCGGCAATATATAGAATGACAATAAACGGTAATATACAAGCTTAAAATAGACTAATTTTATTAATATAAAGTTATTCACATATACTATTCGAAACGTTTCGACTCATACAGTAGTCTTCTTCAGTCGTTACAAACATTAAATTATAAAAAACATAACAAGCGTTTATTTAAATTATACTTTATATTTTAATATATAGGATATTATAGCTTTATAAGTATGCATACTTATTTATGGAACATTTATGTAATAAAAAATCATGAATTAATTATGTATTAGCTAAATATTTATGTTAATAGTAGCAAATTTATATCAATTGTCGATAATATCAGCGTTCTTCAATTACCTCCAGACTCTTGGAGCCTCTTTATACCGTCGAAAATTTGCCCAGGGTTGACAGTCTTTAATAGTATCTCGTCGGTGCTTTTACTGACGATTCTAACTTGATTTTGATGACATAGTTGCAACTTTAGAAATAATATATTTTGGAACGATATTATATTTAGGAAAAATATTTGTCTGTTTCAGCGTGCAGAACTCAGCGACTTTGACCGCTTCAAGCTGCGTAAAGCAAGGCAGATAAGAAATAAATTGCGGACGGATGCGTTTTACAGATTAAAAAAGAAAACTAAGAAAGTTAAAGCTGGTGATGCAGCGAGTAAAAGCGCGAAAAAAGCTGAAAAGAAATAATAACATTCTGAATTAAATACAAGATTATTTTATGAAAGTCTTGTTATTTATCATATTCCTTTTGTCATGCTAAAAATTATTACGGCTCCTGAGTATTCATCTCAATCATACTGAATCTGGAGTAACCAAACGGTATAAATTTACCTTTTTAAGAAAAAGTAAAAAAGCGTTGTGAATATATGGGTGTCAACTGTCAATCAACTACAGATATACGTCAAACAAAAAACTGGTGTACCAAATTAAGAATTACAACTTTAATGATAGTATCTCTAATTTAAAAAAAATGAAACCTAAGTGGTTTGTATATTTGCCTCCAAGTTAAAATCCTATAAATAAAAATTCGACTTAATTTGAATGATATGTATCCAGTATATAAAAGATTTGATATCAATAATGGGCACTAAATTATAATCTTAAAAAATTGTTACCTAACTCAATCCAAATTATATATGAACCTTGAATAAAACTTGTACAAAATTAAAAAATGAAATCCAAATTCCAAATGAATTATCTTCATTAATTTATAGTGAAAACTAAGTGATACGTACTTTTGTAATATCACAAAATTGTATCTTTATTTGTTTAACTCTAATGATATATATCACATTGAAAGCGTCAGTGGTTGAGCAGTTCAATCGCACGCTCAAGAATGACATGTGGAAGATGTTTACGCTCAACGGCAATTACAAATGGGTCGACGAGCTGCCGCGTCTCGTGTCAGATTACAACGCGCGCAAGCATCGCACTAACGGCATGCGACCGGCCGACGTAATTCCCGCGATCGTCGAAAAATGCTTGGGCACGGTGTACAGTACGATAAAGATCGCGGATCCGGCGAAATTCAAAGCGGGCGATTCGGTACGCATGAGTAAGTACAAGACGATTTTTGAAAAGGATTACACGCCAAATTGGATCACCGAGGTGTTTACGATCGTTAAAGTGCAGCGTACCAATTCCGTAACCTATCTACTCGAGAATTATCGCGGAAAATTCATTGTTGGAACGTTCTGCGAGCACGAATTGCATCGCACTATTCATCCGGACGTGTATCTCACGGAGAAAGTACTGCGCAGTATAGGAAACAAGGTGTACGTCAAGTGGCTGGGATTCGATGGATCGCACAATTCATAGATACACAAAAAGCAATGTCGTTTGAAAAAAATTTTAATTCATACTTTTTATACATATAATAAATATATCAATATAAATATATAAATATATAAAATATTTTTATTATCCCTTTCATCTTCGTTTGGAGTATACAAAATACATATTTTTTTAACAACATATGTACAGAGATAAAATAAGTATATATATTGTCACGCCTTTTCTTGCGTTGATTGGAGTGCGCGCGGGAGCGCACTAGGGAAACGGCGGATCAATCGGGATGGAAGGAAGGTGGAGGCCCTCGCACGGGAAAGTACACCTCACGCAGTCGAGCGAGAATCGTGAATCATGATAAAGTTGGGCGCCAGACGTGCTCCAAGCCGATATCAGTTTCACGAACGCGAACGCAAACCACGCTAGAGTCACGAAATTCCAAGAGCACCAAATATCGCGAAAACCGAGAGCAAACTCTCGCTCACGTGAGGGCTGGCTCTACCTAATGGCAGAGGGGCGGGGTGTTCGGGTAAGGGCCGGTCTGCAGGAGGATGAATGGGATATTCCAGGATAGGGGGCGAATAATATAATCGTCACCAATGTGTAAATTATAAGCGCATTTACTACATCGAGGTAAAAGAAAATACAAAAAAAAAACAATGAAATAAAGAAGGAAAGACCATTGATAGACAGGGAAAAATATTAATAAAGAAGAGTAATGATGGTTGCGCCGTAGAATCAATTAAGATATGAAACCGAAGAGTCACGATAGTTACGGAAAGAATGATGGTTTAGCGAACAGGTTGAACAAGCAAATTCGATGTCCTGATCTTATGAGTCTTAATGCACACTCATTCACACCGCCGAATCGAACATTCCGGTTCTGAGGGGAAGAGATTTGTCCGTTGAGTTGAGATGTTCCAGAGATGCCCGTGGCAGTGCCGGTAGCCGACGGGAGAGATCGCCGTTGGAATGGACATTGTCGAGGCGTCGTATTCGACGGTCGCTACATGCAACGTTGAATGATGTTGCTTGCGACAGAAGCGACAGCGTTTTGAAGTGTGACACACTTTGACATGATGAGGTTCAAGACAATTAAAGCACAGGTTTTTTGCACTGACAAACTCGCGTCGTTGACTCACAGCCTTCTCGCGATATTTTGGGCACATGACGCGATATAATGTCTCGAGTTACACTGCACACTGTGGTACGGCAGCGGTCGCAGCATATGCTCTTGCGTTTGACTGCGAAGTTGAACTTGGAACTTGTTATTTAAATGGCATTATAACTCGCTCGATAGATTCCAGGGTATGAACGCGTCCAACGAGGAACTATTCCAAATCACCGAAGGAAGGGGGAGTAGATTTTGCACCGAGAGTTGTTTCCCACTTCTTCAATGATTCGACGTCGAGTTTACGTATGATCATGAAAACGATGATGTGATCCCAGGATAGGACATTTGAGAGCTTCGAGAGCGTTGAGCGTCTCTTTAACATCGCCGAGAAAGCGCTTTATTTCCGATGCAGCTTTCAATTTACAGTTATTTGCAAGGCGGATAATTGCGCATCGATCAGAACCCGTTTGTTCTTCTAGCGAGTTACGAGAATTTCCCAAGCGTGTTTAAGATTTTCGCTAGTGATGGGGACGTTCTTCAATTATTGCACCGGTTCACCGGTCAGACTCAATTTTAAATAATGGAGCTTTTCGACAGCCGAGAGACAGTCGTTGTCTTTCATAACTATGGACGTGAAGAGGTCTCGAAAGTAACTTCACTGAGCGTAGTCATCGGAAAACTTCGATAAGTCGATGCGCGGTAATCGACGAGAGTAAGATCTGGTAGGCGAGTTAGTTGTGGTTTTGGTAATAGTTGTATCCTGTTTCATCTTGTGATCGAACTGATCTAGCATATCGAGCATAAATCCTTGCGCTTTATGAAATTTCTTTTCACAGAGAGAGTACATGTTTTCGGTAACGTATGGAAGCTGCTCTATTTTGGCATGATGCGCTTTAAGCAAGTTTTCATGATACGCGTTGAATTTTTCTCAGTTAGCCTTGAGAGCGCCTAAGTGACTTTGGACCGCGCCGCGAGTGATCCGTGAAGATTCGAGTTTGTTGAGATTGTCGAGAGAGCGAGAGATTGTTCTGTCGAGCAATAACGTCGTTCACAGTGGTCATCTTCGAGAGTGCCGAGATCTTGAGATACATATACGCATCTCACAAACGGTCACTGCCGTGATTGTCTACGTGGCAAATTTCGCATTTGCACGCGCGAACTTTGAGAGTAAATGAACACCGCGAATAGAGTTTTTCTTGCACAGCTGAGAGCGAGAGAATGACGTTAGAACGAGAACGGCTTAGCAAGCACCGATATTCGAATACAACACTTCTGACAACGAAATTCGCGAACTCCAATTGTCTAGCTCGAAGGACCAACAATGTAAGGATTATTGTGAAAGGAAATAGTATCGAATATCCTGGTTCATTGGCAACGTCGGAATTATTACGAACGTACACGAGGAGTCAGAAGGTGCAGATAAGTGTAGAGACTTAGAAACGACGTACAATGAGATGTGCTGCTGAGCTTTATTTGAAATCAACAGACAAAAGTCGTTAAGCGATATACGTACATAGATACCGAGAGGTAACCTTCGCTTCGCGGGGAAGAAAGAAAAGGTTGTGAATGTATACATCGTGTGACGCGAAGTCAACAACTGATCGACAGAAAAACTGTCACGAATTCTGACCGCTTCGGTGCCGATAATAAACGCGTTTTGAACAGAATAACTATCGACAGGAATAAACACTAAAATTAAATCAATAACGAACACAAGTGTTCAACAATATTATTTATGTGAATCTAGATATGATATGCCGATATAAAATAATTAGCATACTGAACAGTTACTGAGTTTAATCTAAACAACGTCTGATCGTTAATTTGTCAGCCAGCGTGTACGGAATATAGTAGACTACTGAGAGAATATATTTGTTATCATTTTATTGTTACAAATTCTGTATATTTTATTGCTGTCTCGCTCTACTCGTTCTCCAAAGTATCTTCCGTTCCTGGCCACGAACCACCTCCTTTATCACTACCGTGGTTGAGCAATCGGTTATTAAGCCCAGTGTCCACGATGCTAGAAATCCGTCCGAAATCTCGGATGAAGAAAGAATTGACCAATCGCATTGTCATCATGTGACTAAATTGTTTAAATGTGATTGGTTAATTCTTTCTCTCTCCGAGATCTCGGACCAATTTCTAGCATCGTGGACACAAGGCTTTAGTGCCATCAGCGTTTGTGATTCCTAGGGATTTCTATATTCTGAATAGGAATTTTGTGTAAATTTGCAAAAGAGTGGCACGCTCTCTCGTGCCTGGCGCCTAATTATCGGTATTGAGATTGAGAGCATTTTAAATTTGCGAGAGCAGTTGATGCATTGTCTACTTTGAGTATCAAATTATTAGAATTTACGAAAATTGGATAGAATCTTAATCGCGAACGCACGACGAAGTTGCACCACGCTCGTGAGTGCGGTCGCAACATATATATCAAAACGTCGGAATAAGATTAGCTCCTCCTGAAAACTGAAATCTAGGGTACGGTCATCGCGATGTTATTGTAGGATTAAAAGCTGATTTCTATACTTTATGTTACTTTTATGTCGAGGTGATTAGGCGATCGCGACGCATTGGCGGCCGGTAATAGGTTTCGTGTGCGATGCGCGCGATATCGGACGAGAGGTTAGAAAGATAGGATCAGGAAAGGGCAGATTGACATACAAGACGCGAGCATGCGTACGCATTTTTGAGTTGTGAGAAATAAATGCCTTGTTTTGTTCAATAATACCTCGTGAACTAATTATTGGGAATACCATTCCTACTCTACAATACAAATGCTCTAAAGCGTTTTTTGACTGGTCAATTCGTAAAATTTTTTCTTTTGATTGGTCAATTTATAATGTTTCAAAGCATTTATAGTGAGACTTTGGGTACGGTTCACTTGGCGTTACAAATGCTTCGGAAGCATTTGACTGACCAATCAGAAGAAAGAATTTTATTAACTGATCAATCAAAAAATGCTTCGAAACATTTGTAGCATCAAGTGGACCGTAGCCTTTGACCGCAGTCTAAAGCTGGAAACACAATAGACAATAGGAACAAGGAATAACGAGCCATCCAATCAGAGCTCTGAGTATAATATCGAACTTATATCCCAGACGGCTTGTTATTCCCTGTTCCCTGTTCCTATTGCCTATTGTGTTTTCAGCTTAGAACATATAGTACTGGAAGGAGCATAGTCTCTTGAAAGTGAAGGCGAGTAGATAGACAGAGAAGAATAGATTAAGATCGTAGTTGGTAATGCGCATGACTGTAGGGAGGGAATGCGCGCGTAAGCGAATTACACACAGCTGTCAGCTGCAGTACATTTGATACGAAATACCTCAAAACATAACAAATTCCGTATATTAATACTATACTCACAAATAATTAAACTTACAAGTGATATGAAAACGCCTGATTTTCTTCTTTGCAAATATAGCAATACATTACCACAAATCATTTATAATTTCTACTCGTAGAACCAAACAGAACCAAACACAGTTCGCGAATAATCAACGTGCTTTCTAGTATCCACGGTGGATAATCCACCGCGCACGCGTATGGAGTATGCGCATTACAATCTATGATCTTCATCTCTCCATCCTTGTCAATCTTCTCGGCTTCAACCGAATGTACAGGAATTATATGCCTATGCTCCTTCCAGTACTATATGTTCTAAGGTTTTCAGCTTAATTCTGTCGTAGTGTAAAAAAAAATGGCGCCGAATCACGTGATTTAGTCAAGCAGACCATTTCCTCACCTGTCACTTTTTTGATTTATCTAGAGGTCTAAATTTCTTTAGTTCTAACATAAGGCCTGTTCTTTTTAGTTGAATTTCTTGCATGGTTCATCTTGCACGGTTCTCTCCAACGTGGAGAGAAAAGGAAGAAAGATGAACCGTACAAGAATTTTAGCGAAAAAGAACAGA